GGCCACCGCCGCGACAGCGGCCATGCCCGGGCGCTGCAGCGGCGGCGCGGCGGCGCGGCTCGCGGCGCCGTCGCTGCGCGCGCGGTCGGCGGCGGCGGTGGGGCGGATCGCAGTGGTGGCGCGGAGCATCTACGCCAACCATGGGGGGCTGGGTGGCTTCTTTGCTGGGATACGGCCCAGCGTGCTGCAGGCGCTGCCCAACGCGGCGCTCAGCTTCTGGGTGCGTGCTTCCCGGGGCAGACCCCGGCGTTGGAGGGCGACCGACCATGGCCGCGTTGGAAAAAAGCATCTGATACCCGGTGCCTGGTGCATCAATGAGTGTCGGCGGCGCCACGGCTTTCTGCTCGGGTCTGTTTTGCGGTCTGGACCTCCTGCTGAACGTTGCAACGCGGGCGCCGCCACTGACTGCGATGCCCTGACCCCTGCTCGCTCCACCCACCCCCCCCCCCTTGCCCCCAACTGCACCCAAACCCTAGGTCTATGAGTCAGTGAAGCAAGCCTTGGCGTTCTGCCCGCCCTGACGCGACGTGGACCTGATCAGCCCAGAGCAGCCGACGAGCTTCGCCATCCGCACCTCAAATCCCGCCCTCGGGTGGGGGCCGCCTCCGCCCGCGCTCGAGGAGCGCCCTCAGAGGCAGCGCCGCCGCCATGTCGCCACTCGCTGCGCCCACGCTGGTGCATGACGCCATCTTTCGCGCGCTCATGTGCGGCCGTGTTGAAGCCAATGTTAGGTACCTGCTTGCGCCTCACGCCTGCACTTGCCCGCACCTTCTTATTACGGCTGGTTATTGCACTGCCGTGATTGTTTGCAGTTGGCATTGGGCTCTGGGCACGTGCCGTCGGCGCACCTTACAGCTTCACCTCAGCCCCTGTATCATGCCGCCATTCTTCCCAAAAAACACAACAGCCAAAAAACACCACAGCAACCTGCTCACTGCGGTACTGATTGCAGGCACAAGGGGCTTGCAGTGCAACAAAGCTGCCACCCTGCCTCCCTGATATATGCTTTTTCTCACATCCACCGTTGGCGGGCCTGCCCTCAATGTACTTGCAGCCACCTCCAGGCACAGCCACCACGGCATGCGCACGCCACTTTCTCCCTTGACCTCTCACACCCTTGGGGTCTGGGTTGCGTTAAGTTGCGCGTGCGCTGGGCACGCGCACCTCCCTGTGCCTGGCCTGGACGCGCCAATTTGCTTCGCATGGGTCGAGTCAGAGCACACGCGCTGGTCAACTGCCGTGTCAGCGCCTCTGGCCATGTTACAAGTGTTTGGTCGGTGCGCAGCGGGCATCGCGCCGCTTCAGGCTGGAACAACAGGCTATTAGCGGCGCCAATTCACGCCTGCGGTCCGATGCATTGCTGCGAGTCGTGAGTGCAGATCTGACTGCCTTTTCAGCTCCTAATCATTGGCAGGTGGGGTTACACACAGCGAGCGCAGGCTGGGAGGGGGAGGAATCAACAGGCGAAAATCTAGCTTTGAAGGTGCATCCAGGGTGCAACGTCTGACAGGGGCTAGGCAGCCGGACAGGTCAGGTCTGCAGCATCAGCTCTCAGTTTTCGCGCTGGCTGTTTGGGGTGGGCGGGCAGGGTGGCATGGCCGCAGTGTGAGGCCGTCGTCCATGGCAGATTCGCGCCATTCGAGGCCAGGTTGGTGAGGTCGCAGGCGCGCGGCAGCGTGTTGCGTTGTGCCGTTATATCGTGGGCGGCCCCGGGCATACGTTTGATGCAGCCAGCTCTACAACGGCTATGAACTTGTTTGCTGTGTCGCTGCAGGTCCGCGTGCTCTGACAGCCTTGTCCAACAATGGGGCAGGCCAGCTGGGTTTGCTGTTAAATGTCGGAGGCCCCAGACTGACCGCGTGCGCGCACGCTCCCGCGCCCCTCTCCCCCACGTCGGGATACCAATGTCACATGTCACATCAATGCAGGCGCGCAGTTTCACGACGCTCCTTGTTCGGCCGATAACGCTGCACTGACACGCTGCCCACCACTCGCGTCTCATTCAAAGCTGACCCTCCCCTCAACCGCATGCTGGGCTTCATCGCCCAGCCCCGCCCTGGCCGTCATAGATCGATGCGCGTTACACAAAACCCCGAGCCCGTCGTTCGAATCGCCGCTCAGACCCAGCCGTCCGCCGCCCCAATTCAGGCGTCGGACGCGGCGGGGGCGGAGGGCGCGTAGAGCTCCTTGACCTTGGCGATCGCAGCCTTCTCGAACACGAGGACGTCGGCGTTGAGCACGTCGAACACCTGCAGCCTGTCCGCGGTGTTGATGGAGAGCTTCTCCACGTTGCGGCCCGCGCGGACGACGGACTCGTCCCAGTTGTCGAGGATGAGGAGGACCTTGCGGTCGGCCGCCGCGCCCACCTTCTCCAGGGCACTGACCAAGGTCTTGGTCTGGGGGGCGGGGCCGCGGAGGAGAGA